GAGTTGAAGAACATTATGGCCAATGTATTAGATATTTAGTTGAATGTAACTTGACAGTAAATTTAGTATCTACAAAGCATCTAAAGTGGACTACCCAAATAAAGTGTTACTGCTTTTCAACGAAAACTTACCAAAATCCATTATTGTTGAAAAGATACAGGTCCCTATTTTTTGTAGATTAACCATTATTTTACCATTACTTACATTACATGTAAATGTGTAGGTTCACTTGTTTTTTTTAATAAATAAGATGGTCATATTTGTGTTGTAGATATTGTGACCGCTGGTTCCTATCGCTACCACTGTAAAGGACATCTCTACAATGAACCCTTTTGCATCAAACCATTTTCAAAGATTGAATATTGTAAAAATTTTGACTAATCTGTGAAATTACCCTTTAATTTTACTCCACTTTCTATTGATTCATTTATCATCATATGTTCACGTAATATAAAGGGTAGTTGAAGTTTCCAAATGGTGTTAAAAAAAAAAAACGAAACACAAAAAAGGTTCTCTTATAGAGGCAGTTATGCTTACTAACAGAGACAAGGCTGAGTACACGTCTGAGTTCTGGAATTGAAGAGTGGTTGAATTTTCTCTTAAGATGTTTGAACCATTTGAGCCTCAGTGATGCACTCAGTGCCCTCAAAACAATAGCCTGGTGCTGGAGGGAAAAGCGAGAAAAACAACAACAAAAAATGACACATTTCAGAGATTAGAGCGAGGGAATTACTGGAGAGGAGAGACGAAAGACGAGTGGAGTGGGCCTGTAATAGTAGCATGTGCCTGCCGACGAAAATGAGATGAAAACGAGGAGAAGTGAGGGAGCGGGTGCTTGTCGTTGGCCTTGGCAGCTGACCACAGGACCACAGGGAGGGGAAGGCACACTGTGAAAGAAGAGGTGATGAAATGGAGGAGTAACAAAGTGAGAGAGGATATCCAAACAAGTGTGTCTGCAGTGTTCTGTGGCCGTCACTGGCGCTCATGTGGAGGGGATTTTAGGGGCTGGAGAGCGACATGTGAAAAATTAGCAAGCTTGACATGATCCTCTATGACAACCGCTTTATGTTTGCTGTCACTCTCACTGTGTTCAAAATGGCCCCTTAATCCCTATTCCCCACTCCGGAAAATGAAGAGTACTATATAGAACGCTACTGTAGAGAACAAAAATTCCCTCCTATTCCCCACTCCGGAAAATGAAGAGTACTATATAGAACGCTACTGTAGAGAACAAAAATTCCCTCCTATTCCCCACTCCGGAAAATGAAGAGTACTATATAGAGCGCTACTGTAGAGAACTAAAATTCCCCTCTAATCACTATTCTCCAAACTGGAAAATGAAGAGTGCTATATAGATCATAGGGAAAGGAAACGGCCCTCTAATCCAGTGGTTCTCAAACAGGTCCTCAGGGCCTTCTTAGAAAGTCCACATTTTTGCTTCTATCTAACTCATAATGCAAAGGGAAAATTGTGGGGCCATGAGGACTGAATAAAAAAAAACACTTCCCTAATCATCATTCCCAGTAGTGGAAAATCAGGAGAATGTAGGTTTTCGCTTTTTATGCCACTTTCTTGTCCTTTCATCTGGTGTTACGTTGCGTTCAACTAATGCTTGTATCGTAAAAGTCTTGACCTCTGACAAGGAAGAACTGAAGAAAACACCCTTTCACCAAGGTGTTCTCAACTCCAGGTTCAGCATTAGATAACGTATCAACATGGCTGCTCACACGGTCAACAGTAATAAAGTACCATTCTCTACTGTACATTCTGTGATCTGGAAACGAGATTACAGTAGTGTTTGCTGTAGATCAATTAACAGACACAGTAGTTGGTTAAATCTAAACCATTGACCACATATATTACTGTTTTGAGAAGGTAAATATTTCATGGATGTTAGTTATCACACAAATCACCTGTTGCTAACAATACTTGCTTTCATGGAGGCGTCCATGTTTTTTCCCACTTTGCAGTAGTGAATGCAAAGAGGTCGGCAATGACATAATTCAAAACTGACTACCCACTTCTGAGTTAAGTGAAACACATTATACAAACCCAAAAACAGTTTTATAGAATACTAAAAAAACAAGAAAAAGGGTTCCAGATTTAGCAGCATAACAGATAGGAAACCGGTCACTGGCATGGAACGGCACAATACGGCTACAGGAGTGTTTGGCTCTACAATTTAATAGAGGCTTATTATAGGGATATTATAGGAGAAATGGACCCCTATTGATGATTTTCTACACTGTAAAATCTGCAGTGCCAGATAGAACACTACTATGAAGAGCAGACTTCCCACATAGTGTAATATATAGTGAATGTGGCCTAGTTTTGAACAAAGCCTCTACCTTTGTTCCTCAGGCTCTGTTTTTCTTCTTCTTAGTTTCCACATTGCTGAATTCTTTCGGGATCTAGTATGTCTGATTCATGTGTGATCCAAATTTCACAACTTCCACAAACTTTCCCCTCTCACCTTAATTCACCTTACCTTCCAGCAGCATATTAGTTACACAGCGGGATTAAAACAGAGATGCCAGACACATTACGAGTTGGCGCTTTTTCATTTGCGATGTAGTCAGGTGGGTTCTCCCTCGAGAGAATCGGTGTGGAGATCATTAATAACCATGAGCCCGAGACGCAGTGCTGGGATTTGAAATTCAATTAAAGCTTGTGTGTAATTTAGTGAAGAGAAAGACGGTGTTGACGCGCGTCGATGCACATTCCAATCTCCCCCGTGTAAGCAGTTTGTCGCACCGCACGGTGATGACATCACGCCACAGTCTTGATACCTTGTGTTCTGATTGGTTGAGAGTGCAGGGAAAGGCTTAAGCAGGTAGATCAGGGTGCTCTGACACAGTTGATTCAATTCAGCAGTTAATTATCAAGTTCAGTCAGGTGTGTTGGAGCTGAGAAGACACTAAACTGTGCCGTGCCCTTGCAGAGCCAATGAAAGTACAGCTACAATCAAAAAGAGAAAGAAATACGATGTAAAAGCATGTAGGATACCGTAATATGTAATATGTGAAAATGTTGAGTACGTTTATCACATTGTGTAATTTGACAGAAGCTTCACAAATATTAAAGAGTTTAAGGATTTTGGAAACAGATATAGTGAATGAGGCAGATATTTCCTGGGTTGACTCACCAGACCTGTAGGCCAGACAGGAGCAGACGGTGTCCTAGGGGTGTGTCCACCTGGATGGGTGTGTCCTTTAGAGAGGTGTCTCCACAGTGGTTGGTGGGTCCTTATGAAGAGGGGGAACCCAGGGAATGGTGTAATTCACATCTTTTCTCAGATTCCCTCTTTTGTTACAGGTGATTACCAGTCCATATTTTTTATTTCTAGGTCGTTTTTTCAGTTTTCTGCATTCTTGAAAATAGTGCTGATTGTAGAAAAGACTGCAGTGAAAAGGTGCTAATTGCAGTAAATTTGAAGTTTGGAGAAATTAAGTGCAGTCCAAGATTGTAAAGTAGAAACCAACACAACAGTTCAGATGATTCTAATAATTAATATTAGATTTAATATTTTTATATTTTGTCCTCTTCCCTGTGCAGCTCAACAGATGGCATGAATACTGCACTGTATACATGATGAGTCGAAAATGATTTAAATATTTTAGTCCTGCGCAACTTCATAGGTTTCACATTATTAGTAGGACATTAGGAAGCTTTAAATAACTCAAATGAATGCAAATTATTATTTATGCTAAGAATGATGAATGAAGCCGTAGGTGACTCTACAATGACTCAAAAGCTGTAGAACATTGAGAATTAAGATAATATAATTATCAATAAAACAAATATCCAGAATGCTGCATATTATATAAGGGGTTATTAAATTTCAAGGCCGATAACTTCCCCAAAAAATATGTACATAGGAATATAGAATAGTTTGTAAATATTTAAATCCAGACTCTAAGTTTACAAAAAATAATAAAAATAGTTAATAGGGCAAGTGAGTTGCTATCCAAAGAAAAAGATGTATTTGTTTTTATTTTTTAATTTTCCACATCGTTTGAACGTAGTAGCTGCCCTTTACATTGTGTGAATATTTCCTCTCCTTTATCTGATGAAATTACATTCATATATTCACGTTAAACGGCTGGTATTATGTAAACCGATATTTCGAATTCCGAATTTCATGATGAATGGACCAAAAGAAACGGCCCAAAATGACTTGGAAGTCTGGTTCCATTGATTTACGTGAAAAGTAAAGTATGTTCTTTCCTTCTCCTGTAAAGTTACCATTTTGGAGATTTAACGTTTTGTTCCGACAGCAGTGATATGTACAAAGTTCATTTGTTGAAACATTAAAGGTCTTGTTTTTGTACTGTTTTTTAATTAAGTATAGGTTGAAAAGGATTTGCAAATCCCTGCTTCCTTTGCTTAGTTACTCACACCATAGGTCTGTTTCCTAGAAAGGGATTAAGCCCAGTCCTGGATTATAGTTTTCTTTCAGTGGAGAATCTCGATTCAGAAAAAACAAACTTAAATGTCTTTAGTTACATGTATGTTGTGTCTTTTTGTGTCATGAGTAACATCTTATTTATCTACTGTAGAAACTGTGCAGATTTTTCCTCTTTAACTAAAGTTCAGCTAAATGTTAAAAACAGCTAAACCTTAAGTTGACCGTAATATGTTAAATCTAACCATAAACATATTCATGCATATTAAATGCATTGGTGGATCAAAAGCATGCGTGGTTAAAGACTGACATGTATTTATTTTGACTGAAATAATCTGTTGGATTGCATTGGAATACTTTGATTCATTAACCACCCACAGAAACACCCACCTGGACCTGTAATTGGTCACAGCACACAGTAAAACACATTGTGGTAGTTTAGAGGGCTCATTTGCATATTGTAGTATGAGATGATATTATTACAAATGCCAGTATTGTGATAATGAATACCACAGAATACACTGCACATCCCTAGAAGTTGCTGTCAAATGTGGGAAGTGTTTTAAATGTGAAATAATCACAAGACACAGAAGAGTAAGAAGTATATAACCAATTGTATTCCCTTCTGTTAATATACACATATTTAGGTTCATCTCACTGGAACACTTTACAAGAACATTTAGAAAGAACAGGAGGGTGCTGGGAGGAAAGGCTCAGCGATGGAGTACAACTAAAAAACAGGTCAAACGTCAGCAGAAAACATGAAAAAGGTGAGAGACACGCAGACGCGCACACATACACGCTGATCGCTGCTCTGATAACATCTCGAAGAGATTTCAGAGCAACAGAGTGTTAGAAAAGAAACTAGGAAAAAAAGAATGGAAGGACCCTGAAGGATTACAGTCTGCCATGTTGAGTGATGCACAGAAAATTATTAAAAATAGAGAAAGACATTATGATGCAGAAGACTGGTCTCCTGAACTGACAAAAAACCAAAAAAACACATTTGGTAAGGTAATGTTTGTTTTGTAAACCAGATTACATTTTGCTCTTTTGAACAAATAGGAATATATCAATTTGCTTCCCAGGATCACTGATTATTATGTTTCTTTTTCTCCAAACAGGGGTTTTAAGTCGGGGAAACACATCTGTTAATCTTAGCAATGGGATGAGGTTCAAATATTTAGACATTTCACAAACTTTTTTTGAAGATTTTTTTTCTTTTCTTTTCATATTTTAATTCTTTTAATAGAGCTGAGAAAATTGGAATACTAGAGTTCAAGTTGTACATCCTCAAAGGAACGGGTCGTCATCTTCAACCTTCACATGAGTGTTTATTTACTTATTTTTTAATGGTTGTTAAAAGTTCGTGCCGATACAGTCCGTCTTTTTGAGTCCTGTACCAGTGAAAAAAGAACATGGTTGCCGACTACTATTTATGAACCTTCATGTTCCCCCACTGCTGAAACAACAGGGCGCACATTTTCCTATAAACGTCTTTTTCCCTTTTTGCTTATGACAAAATATAAAAGAAAAACAAACAGAAATTCAAGCACTCTGGTCCGTAGGTTCTGCTGTTCTGTTATGTCTGTACCATTTCTTTTTTCATGGACATGTTACGATGTGGCTTGTTCAAGAAATGCACAGGGAGAGGGAAACTGACTCACGCTGACGACCAGACAGTTCGTTGTCATCTCAAAGCAGTGGACTGATATTACCTAACGATCACCATCCATTTCCTTTTCTGTGAGGTCCTTGAGTTTCTCAAACGTCTATACATATATATTTATATTTAGAACAAAGTCAGTTTGCTGCTGTGAGATGTTATTTTTTTCCGGTTCTTCATATATGGAACTGAGAGCAGGAATCAGGATCCTCAAGAAGGGCTCGACATGGAACCCCCAAAACACATGACGAAAATCTGCTGGAACGTAGGACAGCCGGGCCTTGGAGAGTTTCGGTGGCTAAACGGAGCAACCGTGGATGTCGAGTAGTTCTCACGCTTCGCTAGTTATTCGTTTTGCAACTTTTTTGATATATTTTTTTAACTCCACAGAAACAGTTTTTGTCTCTTTTTCATTTATGAATACTACATGCTTGAAACACAGCAGAAGTTATGTTGCATCAGCTCCTGAGCACCAAAGACAAGGAGAGGAAATAAGAGCACGAGCCAACACGGGAGAGAGAGAAAGACTGAAAGGAGAGAGGAGTAGGAGATGAATACTTGTAGCAGAGAGGGAGGCAGATTTGACACAGAGTTGGTTTGGCAGTATTCTGGAGCAGCATTACTGCAGAACTATTTGGTCTCCATCTATCTGTCAAATATTACTTACTCCAACTTTTTCCTAAATTTTGAACAGTATCCAAGAATCCCCTGGAGTCGAGCAACAGTAATGCTGTTGACACGCTTGAGGTGCAGCTAGCCTCACAAAATGTTTTCTGAACAAAGGAATCCCCTGGGCTTGGCACATATAGGTGTTGCAACATCAGGTTAGGTGATGATCCCATAGACCCAAGACTAACACAGCATTTACAAAGAGCTAACTAGAGTGTCAAACAGTTATGATGGAAAAAATCCACTTCTCAGCTACCCCACTGTACAAAAGACAGAATCTGTAATAAGGATCAACTATCAAAAATTGGGAAATAGAAGAATCAACCCTAACCCCACTTGCTCTCTCTTTCATACCTTTCGCCTTCTTTTTGGAGACAAATAGTCAGGAAGGGTGACAAAGAAGAGGATTTATACTGCTCGAAATGTGACCTCAAAGTGCCAACAAATACCTGATCTTTTGCCACCTCTCTACATATACTATTATTCCTCCACCTCTCTCTCCCCCTCTCTTTCTCTCTTTCTATCTCTCTTTTTTCCTCTGCCTCCATCCCTGGCAGGCCCGAGCTCAGACGTAGTATTCCTTGTCTTTGTTCTTCTTGCTCTTCGTGCCTGTTTTGGCTGTGCCAGACTGCTTTTCCTTGACCAGCGCACCATTGCTCTGTGTGGCTGAATTACTGATGTAGTTGCGACTCTGGTCCACCTGGTAGGATCCCTCGTCGCGGTTGCGATATTTGTACATGGCGTAGAGCAGGATAAGGATGCAGAGGGCGGCTGCCGCTACTATTCCTACGACCATCCCTGTGGTGCTGCTGGACTCTCGGATCACCTCCACTGCTCCTGGGGGCCCTCGGTCTGGAGACGACGGGTCTGTGGTAGGGATATGAGGGAAATTTGGGGGGTAGGTTACACCAGGGATGTGCCTGTGCCTCCCGCCATGCTCAGGATCCCCAGAAGGCTGTACCGGGGGTAGAAGCACCTGATCGCGGGTGTTCATTTTCCCTGCCGGGATATTGGGGCCACTATTGATGCCGGGTTTGAGTCGTGGTACGAGTTGCTCTGGATGAGCAGTGGGGGTGGAGGGGAGTGGGGGCCGGTGGGAATCGGGGTGCCGAGAGAAGTGGCGGTCCCCTCGTGTGTTCTCAGCTGCCGGGGGAGGCGGAAGTACGGTCCGGTCAGTGACGAGGGGTGAGTTTTTGTAATAGTCCTCGTCGTCTGACTCTGTCATCTCACCTGAGCCGTAGGCCGAAACCTCCATTGCCTCCTCACAGTCCTCCTGGTCCAGTGGGCACGGAGCCCGGCCATTGGGCAGTGACAGAGACTCTTTGGTGGTCTCGAGCAGTGTGAGGAAGGGGTGGTAGGTGGGGGGTGGAGGGATAACGGGGTAGCGTGTTGCGACTGAAGGGGGATCTAGGGAATCCACGGTTATAATAGGCAACACTAATTCACCTCCTAGGATAAGAAACAGACAGGGCGGGAGAGGGGAGAGCGTTAGTAGAACCCTGTGCAAGCTGTTCTCTGGACCAAAAAGAAAGGCAACAACAGTGAAAGGAAAACAACAGCAACACAGGTATAACCATCATTAGAACAGCACTAAGACTTAGAATGAGGTTAGTTCAAGTTTAGTTAGTGACTTGTGATCTATTTAAAATGTTGTTCTAACTACGCTAATTCTGTAATCTAAGAAGTCTACACTACCCTAAATCTCTTCCCTAAACTAATCTCAATATATAAAGTACATCAACACAAATTAAAAACTGGTGCATTATACTAACTTATCTAGGCTAGACACACTAAGCTGTAAGCTACAGTACATGTGACTGCCATGTTTCACTATACTATGTTAAGGGCACAAAAAACAGTTCTATAGCTAAATACACCTGACTAACACTCCACTATCTCTCTCTCCTGTCTCTGATTGGATGGGTTAAATAAGATAGCAAACCACGTAGTACAGGTCACTTACATCAACAAATTGGCCGCATGATTTTTGCATGAAAAAAAAAAATTACAAAAAGAAAGCTGTGTAAGATTGTTCTCGGATAGTGATAAACAATGTTCACCCCAATTTTAAAAGAAGGCAGAGTCTCTTTAATCAGCCATTCAGTGTTTCTTCGCTGAGCTTATAAAGATAAGTATAATCCCTGTTCCCTGTAGGCATTATGATGACTGGTGAGGGTTTACTAATTATTATAATCTATATGCAAACCTCTCAGGTTCACCTTAGGATACTGAAGATGATTTCCAATTCATACTCCCACTACACCATTCCCCCAAAATAAGGATCATATCATTAAAGATAATTATCCGTTTCCTTATTCCCTCTGCAATTTCAGCTTATGAATAACAAAATTAACCTTCCAGTGGTCCTTTGATGCATTTATACATATGTCCTATTGTTGTAATACTAATCAGTTATTCAGGAAGACATGTTATACACAATATGTGTTCATTAAATGTAAAACAGTCTGTGTGTACTGCACATTATCTGGTGAAAGTAGACAGCAAAATTATTTTTAAATCATGAACTCAATTTAAAACATCTATAGATCATGTTTAGAACATCTGATGAGGTGAATTAGTGCTACTGGAAATTACATCCGTAAAAAAAGGTTAACATACAGGGAAATGTCTGACTTTCGCCATCATTACCCCAGCATCAGCATGGTTCTCCCCAGCCAATAGTCCCTCATAACCCAAAACAGCACTTAGATGTACATGAATAGGGTTATCAAAATATTGCAAACCCACAAAGGAGAAAAGAACATAGATAGCAAATATAAATTTGTAAGAAGGATAAGATGAACTGAAAAAGGAAAATTATACTGTAAAAGGTTAATTATACTGTAGACCCCCCCCACTGCACCCATCAAACCCAACCATACAATTTAAATAGGCTACGTAGTGTGGGCTGTGCTGGTGTGTGTTTGTGTCCTAAGGCTGAGGGCTGTGTAGTTTTCTCAGTGAGCACCAGCCACTGTTAGCCATTAGTGTGCAGATCAGATACAGAACATTTATATTCAGGGGTTAGATGGATGGTTTAATACAAGGACTTACAGTCCAATACTTAAGAATTGTCCTTCTGTAGATTACCTTAAATTACACGCTCAAGGCGTCCAATAATTCTGAGGAAAATTCCCTTTGGGGATAAAATGAAAAGAATCCATTCATCAGGTATTACATTAGTGGTTATTAAATTAGAAATGTAACTGTTTAGACTGTTGGTGCTCACAGTTCTATTAGACATACTTAGAGCCACAAAGCAATTTCTGGCATTTATTAAAAATCTGCTGCATCTCCAATTACACGGAAGACAGGAACTCTTGATTTCAGTGCTCTAACCTCATGGAGAAGGCACTAAATTAATAAGAAAAGGGGGAAAAATAAAAAAGGAGAAAGGAAACCCTGCATTTTGGAGATAACCATCAGAGATGCTGATAATAATCTCATACTCTTAAGGGAGAACAATTGCAGTGACTGTGCTTAGACTGACTCAGATTTACTGTAGTACACTGAGCCAGGCTGGCAGGGGAAGGCATATTTTAACACTGAAATAATACTGAATAATACTGAAAACTAGGCAGTCACCCTTGGGATATAGCACAGAACAGACTGCCCACACTATGAAATAGCCATCAATACCATGTCAGTGAATGAGTGTGTGGCTTTGTGTACTGTAATATCCACATAGAGGCTGTGTGTTACTGTCTTCTTTAAAGTTATGTTTTTTTTTCTATTCAAATGACATACAGCTGGTGCTTGGTCAGTAAAGGCTTTTGAAACACTGGTAAAGATCTCATAAAATAAAGCTAATTTGGTCAGAGTTAAGGCTAATTCAGAAAGGTTGTGGCAAAAACACTCAGAACAGCTTGAATCTACTACATGAATCTACTGCACTTGACGTGTATTACATGCAAAGACGTACTGTCACAAAGTACATGAGCACTATGAAGGCTGTTACTGGCACACCATAAGAAACGCAGTTTAAAAAGCAGGCCCTGGTACAGTGTGTGATTTCGTACTGACAGCATGTAAGACTTGAAGAGGTTTAAGTGGAGCTATGGCTAGGTTCAGAAAAGTAGTAAAAAAAAGCTTTAATAGTAACTCTGTCAAGTCACAGTGCAGCAGCTCCACCTCCTCCCCCAACCCCTTGTAGCTTCAATGGTGAGATTAGCTTCTTCGGACTCCTTCTCAGCTCAACCACTTAAAACATATAGGGCAACAGTTTGACAGTGAAAACACAAATGCAATAGGCATAAGCCTCAGAAACATATGAAATATGGAAAACCCTGAATATCAAAGCATATAGTGGTAATACAAGCACAAAATCTTTCCTGTATGTATAATGATGACATTACCCTTAAACAGCTGCTCACTCCTCACTTTCATAGTAAAGTTTCCTCTACACTATGTCTGTGAATGATGCAGTGAGTGCATTGAAAATATATCATAATTAGATATTAGGACAACCACAATTACTCAATTAAACTTGACAGATACCAAGTATAATGTGCCTTATCAATTAATTGTTAATGATTACCAGTTTATATGATGATAATTCCTATTTTAAATTCTCCTACTGCTCTTTCTTACGGTACAAAACACAGGCTGATGGACACATCAGAAAAGTAGTTTTTGCTCACCACATTACCACTGCAACAATACTGCGAAGTCTGAAATTAAGTTTAACATACTGGCAAAATACATAAATATATAAATATACTTCATGTTAATAGGAGGATATTTGAGGATTTACTTAAATGTTGCCATAGGCCTCAAGGTTAAGGTTGATTTTTGACGCAGATGACTACACTTCTGTTATTCTCTGTGCATTCTGACTGATAGTAGGGCTGTAACACTCTTTCTCTCTCTGGCCTGAAGCTTCCTCCCTGCATTCACACACTAGCATCCATATGGAGGTGCCAGACAAAAGCTGCTTGTCTTTCTTTCCCTCAGTCCATGCCCTATTGCAGTCCTTGTTTTGTGTTGTTTCCTATTTCATCTGTTACTGTTTCCTTCTTCTTGTGTCATTTACTTTGGTTTCCTTTTATGAATCAGCCTTCCTCTCAGCTTTTCATCTGTCAATTCATTTTCTTTCTTTTCCTCTTTGCCCCACCCCACTGTCTGTTCAAAATCTATTCCATACTGCTGTGCGCTGCTAATGTGCAACACCAAACATCGCTACACAAACACCGCTGTGAAATACGGGTGCCAAATGCAGAGAGGAAGCTGTTGCTGTTTCTTTTCCTTTTTAACAGAAAACAGTAATTAACTACAGTTGGAAGCGTGTTTGCATCTGCTGCTGGCTGGCTGTGGTCAGCCTGATTTTTTAGAATTGTCTTAGTTATTGTTCTATAATTACATTTTTGATAGTACATTATTAAACAGATAAACTACTTCAGTGGCGTTTAAAAGGGCTTATGCATTTATTTTTTTTTGAGCTGGAGGGCGATTTGAAATCTGAGGAGCTTTAAAAAGTGCAAACAAATACATTTGGAGAAAATGGGAAACAGCAGATCAACATGTTTCCCCTGCTGCTGCAGACTGTGCGTTGGAATTAGAGTTGAATCCTCTGCATTGGGTGCTATAGCAATGCCTTTGATAGTATTTAAGCTTGAATTAATATTTAATGTGATGATGAGGAACAAAAAAGTGAACAAGTAACATCAAAAGAAGCTGATTCTTCTATATTCAGTACTTTAAAAAAGAAGAATATATATACACACACACACACACACACACACACACACACACACACACATATATTCCTGGGAGAAAAGCTACGGTTCCTTCCTCTACAGAGGACTCAGTATTTCCGATCATGTATGATTAAAAAGCTAACTCTACAAAGGACTGATCATTGTAGATAGAGGATGCTAGTAACACTAGCAGTATGGGGCTTAATATGATATATTAGAAATAGATATTTCCCGTTTTAAAACCTGATTGGCTGAGCCTTATTGAAATCAGTTGTAAAATACTCACACAAAGTCATTAATGTGATGTAATTAAAAATCTTTGACTGTTATGTTGTTTGGCAACCATAGCCTACTGTTAACAAACAACTCTGTTGGGAAAGAATTGTGTATTGTAATCTATAAGTAATTACTAATTGAACATTAGTGTGATGTAGTTATTCTCATTTCAATCAACTGATATCTGTTTTTGCCTGATTATATATATGTATATATGTTTCAGATTATCCAACTAATTTTAATATAAGATAAAGACAAAGTGAGTAAACACAAAATGCAGCTTTTAAAAATCATTTTATAAGATTTATTCAAAACCTGTATCATCCATGTGAAAAAGTAATTGTAACCCTAAATCTAATAAATGTTTGTGCCACCCTTGGCAGTAACGACTGCAATCAAACATTTGCGATGATTTGCAGTGAGTCTTTGACATCACTGTGGAGGATTTTGGCCCATTCTTTTTTGCAGAATTGTTTT